CTCTCCCAGATCTCGCTTTCTCACTCGCCTCTCTCACTTTATACAAAAAACGCAAATTGTATAAAATGCGTTTGTGTTTGTATAAAGCGAGAGAAAATTGTATATATACATATATTTTCGTTCCCCTCTCTCCCCTCTCCCAGATCTCGCTCGCCACTCTCCCAGATCTCGCTTTCTCACTCGCCTCTCTCACTTTATACAATTGATCTTTTTGTATATGTATACCAAAACAGATTATACAACTGCTTTCTTTTGTATATGTATAGCGAAATATACATATTTATGTTTGCTATGGAGCGCAATTATGCAAACTTTGCTATAGCATACAAATATGAATTTTGTGTTTGCTATATGTGAAAGTTGCTATTTAAAATATTACTACCACACTAATCATCCATATAGAGTGAAATTAATTACTTAAAAGTTAAGAAAAGTTATTTGCCGCAACAGATTAAAATACACATCTACAATATGATTATCTATGTCACGTAAAATTAACAAACACCTTATTATATTATAATATAGACGGGATGCATGCAAAATCATATCCTAATTTTACATTCTCCTATATAACTACAATAGTTTTTCTGGCACTACATTATATCTTAATTTCAACTAGGCAATTATTCAATAAAAGTGCGCACATTTCAGTACACTAAGCTCCCACAATACACGCTAAAATTTAGGGATTGAAATGCAAATCGATCACATAATTGGATCTTATCTACGCAACTTTACTCTTGCATTTCTACAAGAAATTGTTTTTGCAGCTAGCTAGAACCTCCTGATCACCATGCCCCCGTCTACACAATCACTCTCAATTATCATTACCAATATTCCCGTATCCACAAAAAGTTGCACATCTACCTGTACCACAATCACCACCATCAACCGCCACTGTTGTTTTTTGCTTATTATTATTTGTTGATGATGATGGCCTCTTCCTCTTCTTTTCATAACTAACCCCTCTTGATTTAGACTGAAAATCTCTTACTTCTCTTAAAAATAGCCTCACATTTCTTGAACCAAATGGATTCATTTCTGGCTTTCCACCATTTTCTTCATAAGCAGCTCTAAGCCTACCAATTAGTGCATCGAGACTCCCCCATGCTTGCCTTAATGGACAAGGACATGGTGCTGGAGGATTTAGTAGCCCAAAAAATGGACAATTTTGGTTGTGGACTTTTGTTTTTCCGAATTGGTCCAGATACCTGTTAAAGACATAATTAAATAAATAAAAAATTAAGGATAATATCGCCTTAAATGTGGTGACAAAAAATGATATAATTCCCAAAAAGTAAGTCAAGTTTTAGTTTTGTAATTGGTTGCGAAAACGTTAAAAGTTTTTAATTTTTTCAGATGGGGGGGGGGGGGGGGGGGGGGGAA